AAATTCACAATTCCATAGCAACCCTGTGGTTCCCAGGAGCCCACCCCAAAGATTGGGAAGCAGTGAATTAGAAAAGCTCTTTTAACCCTTCTTGGTCTCACATTCTAATTCCTATTAATTTAAGAGGAGTTAGCAGCAAATGAGGAAAAGCAAACACACTGGAAATTTGAAAACACGGAAGTGAGACTAACCACTTGAGCTGATAATTATGTATGAGTTCTTTCTGTTTGAATGGTGGCCAGAAACCAGAGACAGTGGAATTGATGAGCCAAAATGTCCTGCTGCTGCTGGCTGCAGCTTGAAAGGAAATAATCCAGATAATTGTTTAATTGGATGCTATTTAGAAAGAGAAGTTGGAACTCCCAAGAATCATGATCCAGAGTAAACATCTTTTCAACCATATTGGTTAAATAAAAACCAAAGGATGCTGCATTGATGGCTAGCATCCATGAGGTTCCATTTTCACTTCCATTTTCACTATCCCTTTTTAACCATTTCCTGTCAGTTCTTGTTAGAGGCTCTGTCAGTTTTACTTTTCAATGTTAAGTATTCCTGGATGATAACCTTCCAACATTATACTTACATTAATAATAACAATGGAAAATGAGTGAGATCTTAGGTACAGATCTAGTAACAAGAGGGTAAAATCAAGTGCTTCAAATGAGAGGCAGTATGTACAACAGTTATGGCACAGACTTTCATGAGTCAGCCTGGGTTTGAGTCATCTTATATCTTTTATTTTATATAGTTGATAAAATCCATAGCACATGTTCAGTTAACTGAGCTTTCTCTGACTCAGTTTCTGCACTTGCAATTTGGAGTTAGCCAATACTGGATTGTAGTAAGCATTATACACACACACACAGAAGAATTATACTAGTTAATTTGTGTAAAGCTCATATACCAGTCCCTGACACATTGCAGGTAGCATGACTGTAATTTTTGTTGTTGTTTAGTCACTAAGTTGTGTCCGACTCTTTTGCAACCCCGTGGACTGTAACACACCAGGCTCCTCTGTCTATCGGATTTCCCAGGCAAGAATACTGGAGTGGGTTACCATTACCTCCTCCTGAGGATCTTTCCAACCCAGGGATCGAACCCACGTCTCCGGCACTGCAGGCAGATTCTTCACCACTGAGTCACCTGGGAAGCCCATGACTGTAATAGTAATTTGTTATTGTTACTGTTTCCTTCATAGAAGTTTCACATAAAAGTGGCTATTTTTGTATAACCTAATAGAGTCATGGCTCTTTGAAACTGATGCTTTAACTGAATTATCATAGCATGGTAAAATCTATCAATTTTATGAGGTGGCTCAGAAAAACAAACCACAAGCAATAGTTTTGCTTCCACAAACTGTCTATATCTTATCTATATCTAGATAAGGCATTGAATGTAATTTTGGAGGTGGGATAACCAATTAGTGTATTTTGATCCCCTTTTCCTTTTCTTTATTCCATCCTCTTGACTTTATTTTTAGAGCTCCTTCTCTGAGCTGTATGCATTCATATTTAATGACTGCCATTTTTATTCTTTTTGTAGTATTAAATATTAAATATCACGCAGAATACTTCCTTTAATTTCTCTTTGGAGTAATAAAATATTATCAGTAACTTTCTCTTGAGATCTGTAGCAATACTCTTTGTCAAAACAGAAGTAATTAATAAAACCAGGAAAGCATCTATGAAAAGCTCTTAGAAAGAGTATTATTATTTATTGGGTAAATAAGATATATCAAATAAAATAAACATCTAAGACATGAATTGGTATAGATTTGGTCTCAGGAAGCTCTGAGACATTCTGCTCTCAGGAAGTTCTGTAGAGCTCTGAAGCTCTACAACAGACATTATGATAAATTCTAATTACCAAAGAGTTTTAATGATTAATTTTAACGACTTTATTCACAGTGATATTATTAGCATGAGTAAGAATGACTCCTTTGAATGGACTGTGGTTGACAAGGATAAGGGGTATAGGGGAGGGATGAACGGGGAGTTCAGAATTAGCCATGCAACAATTTTATATAGAGTGGATAAACAACAAGGTCCTATTGTATAGCACAGGGAACTGTATTCAGTACCCTGTGATAAACCATAATGGAAAATATGAAAAAGAATATATGTATGTGTGTGTGTGTGACTACATCACTTGACTGTACAACTGAAACTGACACAACATTGTAAATCAACAATTCTTCAATAAAATAAATTTTAAAAACAAAATAACTCCTTTGTGAATTTTGTAATAGGTGAGACTTGTGATTACTCATCAAACACATTTCAAAATCTCAGATTTTGTCACATAAAAATATGCCTCTGCATTAATATTTAATTTACAGTATCAGTTTACATACTTAGACCAATGAAGTAACAGTAAATATGAATTCCTATGTAATCAACTGTCTTCACAAAAATAAGATTTCAGATGTCTCTTGGGGAAAGTGCAGCAATGACATTAAAAATACTAACATGAGACAAGTGCTCTGGGCTGGTGCACTGGGATGACCCAGAGGGATGGGATGGGGAGGCAGGTGGGAGGGGGGTTCAGGATGGGGAACACATGTAAATCCATGGCTGATTCATGTCAATGTATGGCAAAAACCACTACAATATTGTAAAGCAATTAGCCTCCAACTAATAAAAATAAATGGAAAAAAAATACTAACCTATCAATCATAGGCTCAGACCAATAGGATGGATGCTGGCCTTAGAGCTGCAGTAACCCTGTTTGACCAAGACTTCACCCTCTCATCCTGGATAACAGGAAGGTGGGGGAGCCTTGTGAAATAGGCAGAAAAGGACGAGCTTGAGAGAATTGGGATCCCAACCATTTACCAACCTGTATCAGACAGGGAAGCCTGTCTGCTGCAGTCTGTGGGATCGCAAAGAGCTGGACAAGACTGAGTGACTGAACAATGGTCATACAGTGTATACTAAGAAGTGTATATATTCATAGCATCCTTGTGAAGCACACATATGAAAAGCCAGGAGTGATGAGTAAATACCTTTATTACCAAAAAAGAGCTTCAAAAAATAGTCAATATCTATTCTTCATGAAAGTTGTTATATTCCTATTGACAAAAAAAATTGTATTTTAACTCAAATTTGCTTAAAGTTTCTCAAACTCGAGAAGACAAAAACAAATTGACTTAAAATTTGTTTAAAATTCCATTGTTCTTATGTTTGACTATATAATATTTGCAATTTCTTTCTGTTGTAGTTTAATAATTATTTAGGATTTCTCTCATACTCATTTAACCATTTAGATTTCAGGAAACACTCAAAGATGTTCTAAACAGTAGCATAGATAATTTTTAATTTATACTTTGGAGATAACAAGTCAAGTTCTTTAATAAATTTTTATTTTCTAAAATTTAAAAAAATGTATCTTTTCTATTCATAGGGTAAAAATCTGAAGACGAGTTCATTATATTCATTTTATCAAAATATAACCTGTTCCAAATAGAAAGTTGTAAAAAGGAAACTCCAAATTTTAGTTTAGAAATTTCTATTTTGTTCAATTGTTAAGAGAATTCTAGGATGGTTCATATTATTCCATTTCTTTTCTCTATTTTATTTATTCCAGAATTCTAGGATGGTTCATATTATTCCATTTCTTTTCTCTATTTTATTTATTCCTTTACATTAAAATTATTTTCAGAATATTTTTTCTTTTTCATTTTTCTTCTTATAATTCAAAATAATATCTTTGAACAAAGATCACTCTGAAAGCAGAGGCTCTATTACATTATGGACAATTCTCTGGCAGATTGCATTTTCACTGCCCACATTTCAGATTCACTTTGAATATCAATATTAAATACCAATTTAAGTATTTTCTTTAAAACTTTATTTGATAATTGTTACAGTTTAAACAAATGTTCTCTGAACTCCACCTGCATATAATTATGTAAGATTTTATGGAGGCTACAAAAATACGTAAAAGACAAATCTCAGGCCCCTAATATCTTATGGGCTTCCCTAGTAGCTCAGATGGTAAAGAATCTACCTGCAATGTGGGAGGCCTGGGTTCGATCCCTGGGTTGGGAAGATCCCCTAGAGAAGGGAATGGCTACCCACTCCAGTATTCTTGATTGGAGAATTCCATTGACAGAAGAACATGGTGGGCTACAGTCCATGCATTCACAAAGTCGGATATAACTGAGCAACTAACACACACAGTATCTTATAGCTAGGGATGGGGGAATCAGACGTTGTGTGACCTGGATAGGTCACTAGGCCCCAAGTGATCTATGATAGGAGTCCCATGAGAAGAGGCTATGCATTCAGCATGTAGAAGTGGTTCCTCTACAGAGCTGGTCAGGCTTTGGGGATGATGAAGGAGACCCATCTATCTATATCCTCTCTTTTGTAGGATGATCATGGAATTCAAGGACTTTCTTACCCTTCTGCTTTATGTATGTCTGCCACCTTCAGTAAAACAATGTATATATAATGAGAGTTAACAACCAATGCTCTCTTTGGAATATATAGCTCACTAAGTTGGGCTTCCCTGGTAACTCAGACGGTAAAGCATCTGCCTACAATACAGGAGACCCGGGTTCGATCCCTGGGTCGGGAAGATCCCCTGGAGAAGGAAATGGCAACCCACTCCAGTATTCATGCCCCGAAAATCCCATGGACTGAGGAGCCTGGGGGGGCTACAGTCCATGGGGTCGCAAAGAGTCGGACACGACTGAGCGACTTCAGCTCAGCTCCGCTCAGCAAGTAAGGTTATTTATAATATTTTGTTGTAATTATTTGTATTATAATCAATGCCTTATTTTTCTTTAGGAAAAATCTTGAAAGAGATACTATCATACCTTTTTGTAATTGCTTTTCAAAGAAAGCTCAAGTTGCTTCTTTTTTCATCTTCCTTTGGGGGACTATGCCTTAGGATAAGTACTTGGCAAAGGGTAGATGTTTAATACAGCAGATCATGTGCACTCCCCACTGTTTATATTATTACTCTAATGTTCTTTACTGTCTTGTTCCTTTCAGGACTGTTCTTTTTACTCTGACGTCTGTGGTTGTACTTGTCATTACAACTGACTGGATCAGCTGGGACAAGCTGAATCGGGGATTTTTGCCCAGTGATGAAGTTTCCAGAGCCTTTCTGGCTTCTTTCATCTTGGTCTTTGACCTCCTTATTGTAATGCAGGTGAGTGTCTTTGTATTTTCTTCCTCTCCTGAAGCCACCCCAAGCATTGTTCTCTGTATTATAAACATTATTCAGTGAAAGGCTCCATAAAGCTAGAGAAATGCATAGTTTACAGTTGCTATTAATGGAGCCTTCTCTGATCATATTTTCAGCTCTTTTACTGGGAGTATAAGCCAAATGGGCTTTTATGAGAGGGGCACCAAAAAGTCATTGTATGACCATTGCAAGGTGGCCCTGGAAACCACACAGAATGGTTTTGTTTTTTTGCCAAAGCTTCAGGGGAAAAAAAAAATCATTGTCATTTAGTAAATGGAAAGCTGCAGAGATGAGGATGATATAAAACCAACGAAGCCAGGATAAGCAATTGCCAAAGCAACTCAGGGTTTTAGAGCAGTTGAAATGGAATAATATAAAAATGCTTTTTCTGGTTATGGAAATTATCACTGTCTTTCAGTATTCACCGGAGATCATTCCATTTTTGTGTAAACAATATTTCTGCCCTGCTTAGCAACAGATTGTTTGTACAGTGGTTTTGTGCTAACCACTGCTACTCATGTAATCTTCTGGTGTGAGTGCTTTGGGGTCTTAGAGATGTTCCTTTGAGTCAAGCAGAAAGAGACATTAACTATTACTTGGCACTTTGTCTTGTTCATTAAATGTCCATCCACTTGCTAGACATTTTCTTACTGCTTTCATAAGGCATTTTTGTGTTTTCCTCTCCAGAGGCATCATAAGTCACCAGAACAAAGGCTCCATTGCTGAAGGGGAAATAAACTTCATTATGTTCAGAATTTATGTGAGATTTCACAGGATACTAGACTGGTTTTTCTCATTTCTAGAGGCAAAGAGATGCCTTTATAAAAGATATTCTTTAGTGTTTTGAAAGAGAATAACAATCTGTTTTGCTTTGTGGTTATTGTTGTTGTTTTTGAGGGGGGTTAGGTTTTTGTTTCTTTGTTTTGGTATATAACATAGCCCAGACATGAGACTCAAGATGGTTCTTAGGATATATTAAAATCTTGTGCTGTGCTTAGTCACTCTGACTCTTTACAACCCCACGGTCTGTACTCGACTCTTTGCAGCCTCATCGTCTGTACCCCACCAGCCTCCTACGTCCATGGTGATATTCTGGGCAAGAATACTGGAGTGGGTTGCCATGCCCTCCTCCAGGGGATCTTCCTAACCCAAGGATAGAATCCAGGTCTCTTGCATTGCAGGAGTATTATTTACTGTCTGGGCCACCAGGAAATAGTATTATTTTAATGGATGAAAACTTAAAATACATTATTGTTTTTAAAAATTAAATTAACTTGAATTATTGTCTCATCTAAAAATTAACATACGTATTTTTTATTTCCTGTGTGATAGTTTAGCATAGTGAAAAAAGCCCTAGGGAAGCCCTGGCAAGGTTCCCTGTCTCTCACTTTCTCTTGGACCTCCTCTGGATATTTATAATATTGAGTTTATAGCACTTACACAATAGTGTGTTATGCATTAGTTGTTTAAAGACTATTTTTATTTTCTTTCATCTAATACTCCTCTTAATGAATATACTATCATTTGTGAAATATCTACTTTGCCCAAGTGGCCTACTGGTACCTCTTGAACCCATCTTAGTGTCAGAAGTATCCATAGCCAAGTAGACCATTATCTTCTCATTTGTATATGTTATGAGCATAAATGTCTTGATTTTCTACTACTATCCACCACCTTTCACCCTCTTTTGTAGTTTTAATTATTCTTCCAATAGGTTCACTAAAATCAGGGATTGAAGTGGGAAAATGTAATGTTACAATTTGCAGATGTTATGGGTCCCTCAAAGAATATTTAATAAGAGAGAGATGGAAGGAAAGATAATCAGGATTTATGCATGCAGAGTCAGCAGGATTTGGAAGGGAAAGGCATTCTAGATGCAGGAAATGGCATGAAAGTGTGGAGTCAGTAAATCTGAAGTGTTCAGAGTGGCCAGAACACCTTGACTGAAGATGGAGAATTTCTGCGGAGGAATTTATCAGTTTGGACTGTTTGAGCTACAAGTAACAATAACCCTGCCAAGCCAACTTCATCAAAGGGGAAAGGGGGAAATGTATGGCTGCATGATGAGGCTGTCCTGCAGAATTAAAGAGGAGGTATGCAGCAGCATTTTAGTGGCACATGAAAGCAGAGACTAAACTGTAACAGGAAGCCCAGACCAAGCTCTTATTCTCCAGCTCTCATCTTTTTTTCTTCACTTCTACTTTCTTATTCTCTTTTGCTGTAAAGCAGCTTTTTCAGCTTCCCAGTTCACATGGAAGAAGATGGCCACAGTCAGCACCTGAGAGAGAGACCGCTCTCTGGCTGTTGGGTCTAACTCTGGATTCCAGGGAAGGAGTAGCAGGGACTGGATTGTCCTGCATCCATCTGTGTCCTGTTGGGAGTGAAGCAGTCCTAAAGAGAATGGGGGAGAAGTTGGGCCTCAAAAACCAGATTAATAAATATCTAATACAAGGAGGAGTCGAAGATGAGGCCCCCGCAGAGGAGGTCTGATTAACTTCTTTGCTCTCTGCCTCAACCCTTAGTAAGCCAGCCAGGCGTACTGATTCATCACTTGCTATGTCTCGGCTCCCCAGGTGGCTCAGTGGGTAAAGAATCTGCCTGCAGTGCAAGAGACAAGGAGCTGAGGGTTCGATCCCTGGGTCGGGAAGATCCCCTGGAGAAGGGCGTGGCAACCCGCTCCAGTGTCCTTGCCTGGAGAATCCCATGGGCAGAGGAGCCTGGCAGGCTACAGTCCATGGAGTCGCAGAGAGTTGAACATGACTGAAGCGGCTGAGCACGCGTGCCTCTTGTAGCCTTATCTTTCCTTCTCATCCTCTGCCACCAGTTCAGTCCTGACTCCTCTGTACTATTATAAACTAATCTCCAGTTGAACCTTCTGCCTGCAGATGTCTCTTTGGCCCATATGCCCTATGCAACTCACCCTCCTAAGCTTCCAGTCTGAAACATCATTCTGTGTATGTCACTTTTCAACCAAAAATATTGACAGTGACTCCCACTGGCAAAGAATGAAGTCCAGACTCCAGGTGCTCTCTTAGTGCCCTGTGTAGTCTGACCTTATCTATGTATTCTCTCACATCTTCTATGATCTGGCTCTGCTCCAGCCCCGAGGACTGTTGCTTGACCCCAGCAGCTTTATTCCAGGATGTCTGTGATCCTCTGTTTCTTTCCTGGATCACATCTCTCTGTCCTGCTCTGCCTGTTTAGACTTGACCATTGAATACCATTCCGATGCCCCCTCGTTAAAGCCATGGGATGACTTCCTCCTTGCAACTCCTGAAGCATATTTTACTCAACCTGCAAATCAGCATTTCACCTTTTCCTGCTTGGTAGAGCATAAGCCGTTGCTTATAACTATCTATCCCTGGAGTCTCTCTAGCACAGAGCCTTACATGTGCAGCAATAGACTCAGAGTAATAACTGTTTGATGAAGATAAAGTAGTGGCATTTTGGCACCGAGTTTCATGCAAACTTGGTCCCCCCTCTGGGAGCATCATGTTGAAGTTCAAGGAACTAGTACATGTGGTGAGAGAGTGGATTTAAGGAATCAGAGCCTCAGAAGGCATATATATTCAGGCTTTTAAAAATATCTAACACAAACCATCCTAACAAGTCCATAACCAACTAAGCTCTGATCTAATCCACTTCATATCCACATATTTCTAACAAAAGAGAAATAGAAAAGTAGTAAAATTGCTGGAAATGGAGAAGTAGTTTTACTAAAAGGTTTTGCCTCATTAGAATTATTTAAGTGATTTAAAAGTAATCGATTCTAGGCTCTTATAATGGTAGGAAAATTCAACTTATACGATTGAAAGATATTTTAATGTTTGGTTAAAAAAAAGAAACCATTAGAATCTTATAGTATGGCTATAAAGATTTTATTTTAACAGAATTAGTAGGCCCATTCTGAATATTTTCAGAGAAAGTACAATTATTTATTTTTATGACTTTTAAATACTTTTTTGTGAGTACTATTTGTTGTATCACATTTTTCTGAGTTTTAGTAAATTCACTAGAACTAAGGCATAAACAGATGCCAATAAACTATAACATGACTCATATAAATCACACGTTACTGTAGAACACAAGAAGTAAATTGTAAAGAACCCTCCCTCTGAGCAAATCTTGTCTCAAATTTGCTTATGTCATTTGACTTTTACATGCTCCTTGAATTCCTTCCTTAAGTATTTAATCTGCAGTCACATTCCACCTGGGATTCCCTGATAGCTCAGGTGGTAAAAAAAAAAATCCACCTGCAATGCAGAAGACCTGGGTTCAATCCCTGGGTTGGGAAGATCCCCTGGTAGAGGGGATGACAACCCATTCCAGTATTCTTGCCTGGAAAATCCCCATGGACAAAGGAGCCTGACAGGCTACAGTCCATGGTGTCACAAAGAATTGGACACAACTGAATGACTAAGCACATATATCCCACCTACTCATCTTTTCTGCTAGATTGAAGAAAAGATACACCTAAGACATATAAGAATTAAAAATATATGTTGTCCGGTAAGCAAGGGCTTCCCAGGTGGTGCTAGTGGTAACGAACCCATTTGCCAATGCAAGAGATATAAGAGATGTTGGTTTGATCCCTGTGTGGAGAAGATCCCCTGGAGGAGGGCGTGGCAACCCACTCCAGTGTTATTGCCTGGAGATCCCATGGACAGAGGAGCATGCTGGGCTATGGTCCATAGAGTTTCAAAGAGTCAGACACAACTGAAATAACTTAGCACACACACACACAGTAAGCAAAGAATGTGTCTTAGGGGTTCACCAAAAAAGAAAAATAAACAAAAGAGAGATGGCAGTGTAGACAGAACAGTAGGGAGAAGCTTCAGAGAAGAGATTAAATTAAGACAGGCATCTTGAATTTTAGAAGTCAGAACAAGGAACAAGAAAAATTTTCCAACTAGAAGTAGTATCGTAGTCATCAATGTGAGAACTCAGTTTTGTTCCATTAAGAT